CCCCCCCTCCTCTTTGCCCCCCGTGCCCCGATTTATTCCATATATATATTTAAAATATACATATATATATTTTATTTATTTTTTTTTTTACTTTTAACGTCGTTAGGGAGAGATTACACAGAAGTAAATGGTGAAGCTGATCATTGCTAAACCGGTTAGGATTCATGTCATGCGGAACATTAGAAATTACGCCTCTTTGAGGCGCCGTATTTAGCAGACATGAAAGAAAAGAAATTACCTCCTCCTCGAGCTCGCAAATTGGAATGCCATTAACCTCCAGGGCACGGGGATGGCGGCCGTGCTGCTGCGCTGGGTCAAGGGCACATGGGGACCCTGGGGACAACACAGAGCCGTGACCTTCCCCGAATGCTGAGATCACAGCACAAGGGAAGGGAAGAAGAGGGGAAGGGGAGAAGTGCTGCATGCTGCCCCCAGCTGCGTCCCATAGATGGGGGTGGTGGTGGCACGGAGCTGGGGGGGACAGGTGGGTGTTCACCCCCCCCCTCCACTGCCAGCTCTCGTGTGAGCCAGGTCCCAGTTCTCCCCTCCTTCCTGTTCAGATTAAACTTTATTGTGAGTGATGCTCCCTTCTGTCCTTTAATTCCAAAACAAAAAAAAGGAGAAGGGAAGAGAAAAGCAAATGAAATTCCTTTAAAAACATGTGTATAAAAATCAGTTTCTCGTATTGAGCGGGGACTTCCACCAAGGCAATTATTGCGCTCGCTCCCATTGTCTCTCCCAGTGAGCTCTGCCTTCTCCTCCCCTGCCATGCAGACCCACTGAGCTCTGCCCCACGGTGCACAGAGCCACCAGGGCCACCTCCTGTCCCCACAGAGCCCTCAGCCCCATCCTCTGCATCCCCCCCCAGCTGTGTGCCCCCTGTGGGGCTGCTGCAGCTGAGCATCGAGGCTGTGCCACGGTGGGTCTCTGCTCTGTGCCCCCCCCTCAGCAGCACAATGCGGGGGGTTCCAAGCTGCTGTTCTGCTCTCACGCAGCCACTTCTCTCT